AATCTCTTATTCTTTATGTCAGAATAAGAAAAGCAGGTCGATGCAGACATTAACCTGCTCTTTGGAATTTGTTTGACTCCAAGTAACAGCCTTTCGTTTTTTGCCTAGATTTGATTATAACAGCTGGAGGCGAAAATGTGCCTCCAATTCCAATTGAAGATGCTGTTAAAAAAGAACTCCCAATTGTTAGTAATGCTATGGTGATTGGAGATAAAAAGAAGTTTTTGTCAATGTTCCTGACTCTAAAGGTAAGCAAATTTTAACACTGCTTTTAGTGAAATGATACACCTGCACCTAACAAAAGAAGAATTTTGAGTCATTTGTAAGAAGACCTAAAATTTTAGATAGGAGGATGTTAGTAGTGGGGAAAAAATGTATGGCCACTACAGACCAAATCCTGCTGGCTCTAACCTTAGGGTTACAGGATCTGCTAAACAGCTACATATTTACCTGCTGGCTCTAACCGTAGGGTTATAGGATCTGCTAAACAGCTACATATTTACTGCTGTTTCTCCTATACATATAATAGGGACTATTTTCTATTTAAATGCAAATTTTTAATTAAGAAATGCTGAAAGATTGAGAAATCTCTGTAACAGAGCCCAATAATAGCTTTTCTTCTGATAGATGAGCAAAGCCAACAAATGTTTCTGTTACGGGCAAACCTAGAAACCTTCCAACAGAAATATTTCTCTACAATTTGTTATTTTTATAACACAAGAAGGATGACTGTAGAATAAATCATAGCCTTGCTGTGGTATACACTTCAACTTCAGTTGAGAAATTCCTCTTTTCCTAACACATTTACACTTCATGTTCTGTGTACATACATAGTGGATGACACTTTAGGTTTTTCAGGTTGTTTATGACTGATACTCTCTATCTTCAGGTACAATCGAGAGACTAATTTAAGAAGTCTAACTTGAAAGACTGCTTCTATCTCAAGCTGTTTATGTTACACCACAGTAATTCCATTTAATGATGAGCTAAATGTTTCCCTGTAACAATGGAGTCATTTGGAAAATATGGTAGAAATTCGAGGTCTATAGATGACTCTGCTGCCTAATTCATTCACACGTTTTAAGTCTGTTCTTAACACCTGCATACAAGCAAAACATGTTTGCATTTCATAGACAAGGGGAAAGAAAAGCACTATCATCTGTAGGTGTTCCTTCTTTTTAAGGCTTACAGAATGTTTTCATACTTATGCTGAGCCTTCTTGATTTTTACTAGTTGGGGAGGACCTGATCCGAGAACCTGCTAATGCCTTTTAAGAGAGTGAGTATTTGATGATCCACTTCATTTGATATTTTAGTGTGTGCTGGACCCAGATACATCTGATCCCACTGACATTCTCACTGAGCAAGCTCGAGACTTCTGTCAGAAGATGGGTAGTAAAGCCACTAAAGTATCTGAGATTGTAGCTACAAGAGACCAGGCGATCTACCAGGCCATTCAGGAGGGAATCAACAAAGTCAACATGAATGCTACTAACAGGGTTCATTGTATTAAGAAATGGAGAGTCCTGCCAAGAGATTTTTCCATTTCTGGGGGAGAACTAGGTAAGATCTACTGCTTTATCTTGAGATACACAGAGTTAAGAGGCTGCTGCTCTAAGACTATTCAATACAGTTATGCCTGCCAGATCCTGAGTACAGCCACTGGAGGGAACAGGAAAAAACGTTATGCACATTATGTGTTGAATAAAACAAAAATTGGAGTTTTAGCTGTGTACATGTTTATTAATCTGTGCTCATTTGCAAGTATAGTGCTTATAGGTAAATTTGAGAGTGCTGTGGGAAATTAATGTTTTTGTGTACTCCAGTATTAATATCTTCCAGTAATAATACTGAAAATTCCTCATTAAAAAAAGGAGAAGCAATACAGTGACAGCCTGATAATGGAGCCCCAAGCACATTACCAAACTCTGTGAATGAACTGGGAATTTTTTAAAAGCTTTCAAAAACATTTTTAATCTTTTATTTGAAATTTAAAAAATAGTAGTCAGTTACCACCCTCGTATCTGCAGCTCCCTCTGAAGTCCTCATATTTGAAAAAAATAGTAGTCAGTTACCACCCTTGTATCTGCAGCTCCCTCTGAAGTCCTCATGCTCATGTGGAAGCAACCTTGCATACCACACCAGCTTCTCACTTTTAGCAGGCATCTACAATTACAGGAGGGAATGTTCGTCCAAACAGGCTCTTCAATAAAAAATCTTGGGAACCAAAGCTCAAAGTTGGAGTTCTTGTTCGAAAAAAATAGTAGTCAGTTACCACCCTTGTATCTGCAGCTCCCTCTGAAGTCCTCATGCTCATGTGGAAGCAACCTTGCATACCACACCAGCTTCTCACTTTTAGCAGGCATCTACAATTACAGGAGGGAATGTTCGTCCAAACAGGCTCTTCAATAAAAAATCTTGGGAACCAAAGCTCAAAGTTGGAGTTCTTGTTCCTGTTTCTGGAATTGTGACTATCTCCTTCTTCTAAGGTCCAACAATGAAGTTGAAACGGCTCACTGTGCTCGAGAAATACAGAAATGAAGTAGACTCCTTCTATGAAGAATAAGAAGTCTTTCATCCAAGCATTAAGAGAAAGATATGTGAGCAAAACAAAGTATTTTCTAATCAAAACCATTTATTTTTATGGGGGGTTTTGAGTTTGTAGTCTATTGAACCAAACCACTAGAAAGCTGCTGCATTGATTTAGTTCTTCCTGATACTCACCTGATCATTTGTCCTCTTTTTACAGAAGCATCTATGCAGTGTGTCCATTTTCTAATCCTGTTTCTACTTTATGACATAAGCATTCTTCTGTGTTATGCAAAGTAGGTAAACTAATTAATTCCTCTAGATTGAACCACACAAAATTTTCTATATAAAAATCTTCCTCTTTTTTGTTGTTTTGCTTTTGTTCTACAGGATGTTGCCCATAGTTCATGATAGTTAGCAGTACTGCCTAAGGAAACTGTCATAACACTCCAGTGAAAATTTAAGAATACATCAAAAGGGCAAGGTTTTTTGTCCCTTCCCCCAGAAGAGTTTCATGTTGTTCACTAACACATTTCAGAACCTAAAGACATTCCTCTTCTACTTTTGTAGGGGCTAGAATTCAGTCTTCCGTGAAAACAGCAGTTCATTTCTTAAGTCCAAGCCGGAATGAACATTGCTATTTCCCCTAAAACAAATAATCAAAAAAGAAAGAGGGAATATCTCCCTGAGACTGAAGGACATAAAGCAGTAAACACAAGCACTCTCACACTAAAGGGCTATTTAGAAGAGAAACTCCTTTAAAACTGTTCACAGTGCTTTTCTTTAAGCAGTGTTTGTTGGTCTGTATCTGCATTGTTGAATATCAACATTGTGCTAATTCTGACAAATATGAGCTACATTTCTTCTTACCCATATGAAAAATAAATCATATTATATGATTTATTTCTGCTTGGCAGAAAGTTATCTAAAGGGTGTGACCTTAGAAAGTCATCTTTGACTGTAACAGCTCACACAAGCAGGCAGGCTACTGCCACTCTTCTGGAGAGACAAAAGTGATGCAGAACATGGTAATTTACCAATAATCACTTGAACACATAACCCAAGGCAGCAGCCTAGGATTATAGAACAAACAAGCAACAGGACTTTGAAAAGTTTATTCTTCCCCATTTTGTGCGCAATGGTAATTCAGAATTTCTGTAACAATATTAATCTGAAGGAAACAAGGAAGCAGCAGCTTGTGAAACACGGAAATAACTGTTGCCCTATTCACCAAAAGCACAGCACATGAGGAAAAAGCTCCTCCAACATGTTGTTAAGACTGAATAAAAAAAGCTGGGAAGATTACTTTATAGACTGACATGAAAAGCTGTTACTCAAAAATTACTGTCCTTCTGAAACAATCAGCCTGAAACAGTCTTAAGAGATATTGCTGCACTTAATTACTTTCTATTAACAGCACTGAGCTTTAAGAAGCCTGGCTCTGCAGGAAGGGTAATCCTGTGCTATACCCATGTGTTTGAAAATGTATTTGCTCGTAGGGTGCACTCATGGAAGCAGACCTTAACACATACAGATCAGAATGACTTGTATGATGATCTCCACGGGATGAAGAAGGGAGGGAAAAAATAGTCTCAGATCCCTCTGAATAGGGATGAAATGTATTTCTGGAACATAGGCACCAGAGCCAAACCATTGATCTGTCTTAATCCATTTAGGCCTAGTACCTTACATTCAGAGTTTCTAGAATAAAATTACTAGTCAGTACAGTAAGAAACACTGGACAGACTATGCATTAAATTACAATACAAAAAGCATTCTAGCAGAACTCATGAAATATTTAGTATACATTTGCAAAGTTAATACTTTCCCCTGACAATACATGACAGAAGTAATTTTGTATAATTTACCCTCATTAGAACTCTGTTGTAAAGTGTGTTTCAGTGAGGAAACCTTGTAATAATTATTTTGGTATACAGATTTGAAAAATAACGTTAGCACAGCATTAATTCTCACCCCCTGCTAGAGTTAATGGTTGTGGGATTTTTTAAAAATACGCAAATAGATTAAATCTCTAGAATTTTGTACTTCTTTATTCATGCCATTGGTGGGCGAGGCTGCATTTCATCAATCACCAGAGTATCTGAAGTGTTTTTTCCATTGCTTTTAACATGAAATTGCTGTTTAAATTATTTTATACCCGTTTCGTTATGAAGGTCATCTTGAGCTACTGTCAGTCTGAAAACCTGTCTTTTCAATTTCAGCAAGATCAATAAAGTAGGTTTTAACACTTAAGGTGCTTTTATATCTCACTAATTCTGTTACTGGTTTATTTGCATATTTTTATCTTGTGGAAAGTAAAACCCTCTAGCTGAAATGGAAAATGTTAAGACAGCTACAGTGCCAAAAAAAAGAATTCACTTACATAAAAATGTTCACCAGATAGAAATAAAAAAATAAATAAGACAAAGCACTTGGAAAAGTCCATGAAAGCAGGCACAAGCATCACTTGGAGCCATTTGGACTAAATTTATTAATGGAGAGGCCTTAACTAAAAAGTTTGCTCTCCAGAGATAAGCAAACTCTATGCACATGGATATCAGGTGCCATCTGCTGTGCGCTGTGTGGCCATGGAGCTCGCCAAGGGCTTAGTCCTTGTCCCGTACTCGGCGGCAAATCTCCTCTGTGAATTCCGAGCACTTAGCGTTACCTCCCAAGTCTTTTGTCAGGACCTGAAACAAAGAAAAAATGTTTCCTGAGGTTAGTCTTGTCTCTGAACAGTTCTGTATCTTCTTCTGATACATCATGTATGGATTCTAAACAGGGGTGAGGAGGAATAGAGCAAGTTTGAGTTTTTCTCCATCCCATACAGACTCCCATCAATAAGGACTGTGCAGACTGACAGCTAGAGAAAATCTGAAAATCAACATGAAGTACTTATCAGATTTAAACATGATTTTATCTTAACTACAAGAAGAAAGTGTGTTTGGTCAAAGCTAATCAAAGTCCTTTGGCTCCATAATAGTGTAATAAATTGCTAAGTATTTAAGCTTTCAGTAAGAATTTTGTCCTTTGGAAGTAAAATTCATATATGAAGGCTCAGCACAAAGGCATCTAACTGCGAATAATTCAGTAAGGTATTTTTTATTTTAAGGAAGCCCACACAGAACAAGCACACGTAACTCTTAATGCTACATGTTAACAATTCTTTAAGTTTGCTTAGTTAAGAAATGGAAAATGTGGAGTTAAACATATTTGTCATCAAGTACAACTCCTGCTGTTAGCACAAAGACAGTAAAACAAAAATTAAAAAGTGGGCAACATTGCTTGTGCAGCCTAGCTAAAGTAAAGCATGCTAGGAGGTAATTTAAAGTCATCAGTTTTCCCCTTACATGACATGCGGAAATCTTAATTAAATGGCTGAGGGGAAGGGAGGAAGCATGAGAAGAGATCACGGTAACTATTTTACGATCTTGTCATTTTAACTGCATTATGGGGTTTTTGAATTTAAAAAGATTCTCTCCATTGTGAGCATATAATCCCACCATTTTAAGTAACTAGTAAACAAGTAGCCATGTCACAAAACTTGCACTTTGTTATCCTCCCTAGAATTACTGACCTGCAAGTGTAGGATTTCATTTCCAGAGCAGTAAACAGGAACTTTACAGGAGCAGCTCTTTATTCACTGGTTAGTTTAGATATTTTTTTACCTGGTTCCTACACACAGTAAGACAGCTGCAAACAGGCCACTGACAAAATGCTGAAAACATTTTTTTTTGGCATGTTTGTTACTTTCAATTGTAAGATAACTTGAACCAACACGGCTAACTGCTAATCCTCTTCAACTGCAATCTTCAGGATCTTTCCAGCTATCTCTTGAAAAGGCAGACATCAAAGTACAGGAGTGAACCAATAATGTTAAGAGCACAAATTCAAGTCAAGTTTCAGAGCCTAAGCACTCCCACCCACCCACAAATACAGGATTTGAGTCTTGATTATGGAGACACTGCCCAAGAGAAATCACGTAAAATCTTAAGAGAGAAAGTAATTACTGGATAAAAACTGTTATTTTCTAGTTCAAAAAGGAGTGAAAGCAGTTAGGGGGGAAAAGAAGAAAATAACGGATCTGACAAAATAGGAGCACAAGTATTACAGCTAGGACTGAAATGCTACAAAGTTGATGATTAAACCTGTGAAAGGCAAATGAGTGTCCTTCACTTCAGGATCCAGATTTAAATATATATGCTTTGTACAGTGTAGAAACATCACAAGTGAAATGCTACTACTTCCTCCTCTAATCCCCTTCCTGAAAAACAGACACCCAGTTCTAGGTTTTTGGGGTTAACAAAGCCATGGAAATCTAAGATAAGCACTGCCTGAGACACAAGGAATACTATAGCCGGTCCCCTTATTACTGATCTGGGCAGGTTTACTACCACCAAAGATAATATAATTACTATTAGAGAAGGACAGTGGCACTGCTTATGCAACAGACCAGCACCAGCAGGTCATCCACCATTCTGGTGTTAATATTCTAAGTTAGTATTTGCTTGTGATGGAATACGATTTTAATTCACTGCATTTATTTGCACACCCTCATTATTACCTTTCCATCTCTAATTGTATCGAAGCAAGCTGACTCAATTTTTGAGGCGTATTTCTGTAGTCCCATGTGACGCAGCATCATCACAGCACTCAGAAGGAGAGCAGTTGGATTTGCCATGTCTTTTCCTGCAATGTCTGGTGCTGTTCCATGAACCTAGAAATAGAAGTAAACCAGTCTGTTATGGTGGCAATATCCTAGGCAGTTCAAGAGTTTGCAAGCAACCTGAAGCGCAAGACCTTGTGCACCAGCATGTTAAAATAGGACTTACTTTGCTGTGATACAGTTAGTAGAGATACCAAATACCAGAACAATTCAGCTGAAAGGCATCAAAGGGAGAACTAAGTCCCCCACTATCTCTAAACTGTGTCCCTCAGATTCTGTTTCATAGAGGGTATTTATGTGATGAAAAAGAAGGAAAAATAAAGTGTTAGGCAAGAAAAAGACATGCAAAAAACCTACATGTAATACATACTTTAACCAGTATCTCTGGGTAAAGCTTCAGCATCTTCACAGTAAAAAACAGGTTTATGGAGAATATGGTTAAATATCAGTCACCTTGTAGATCATGGTAAAAGTTTTACATTCTCAAGCAGTTATTACTGCTCTACCCTGGATAACGAGACTTACTGATTCAAAAATCGCCACTCCATTCGCACCAATGTTTCCACTTGGTGTTACTCCAAGACCCCCAATCAGTCCAGCACACAAGTCACTGAAAAAAAACCACCACCAAATCAAAACCCACAAGTTTTTCCACATACACTGCCTCTCTGCAAAGTATTAAAACATTTTTGTTTATCAGTCTACTGCAACTATAACTTATTTTATGCCCTACACAATCTGACGGTAATATCGGGAAAGAACAGATGCTGTTAGCCACTTGTGCTCCACTAGAATGTTTGAAAATTTGTACAGTTACTACCAGGCAAAATGTAACTAAGGAAAACTAAAAGGGAATTCCAAATACTAGAATAAAGCTGGTAAGACACAAACACAACAAAAAGCACTAAGAACACAAAATATACATAGAAGTCTCAAAAACCAGCAAAAACTGTGATGTGCAGTTCCCTGTAACTACCTAGAAATCTTACTTCCTCTGAAGGGGCCAAAAAACTACTTTTTGTATGTAAAGTCCTTCTAAACAATGTGGAGAATTTTGCTCAGGGAGCTGAATTTAAGTAGTTTTGTAGTGCATTAGGTATAGCACAAGGAACATGTTCTATGTGACACCAGACTTGCTTTCCTCTGCCTCTTTACTCAACAGCCTGTAAACCACAAGTCTGACATTAGCAGATCATCAGACATCAGTAATTGGTATTTGGTTTCCTTCAAAACTGAAATAAGGAAGGACAAACCAACTGTGCCTATAGTCATCATACTCAACTGTCAGAGCTGACCATTCTGACAAAACGAGGCTCTGGTATTTTCACATACACCCAACATTTTTATATACATAACATTCACATAATTGCCTACAACGCAGCTCATTAAGGACTAACAAGCAGAGGAGTCTGGATGACCTTAACAGAACAATATTTAAAGTTTAAGCTAAAATAAACCAATTAGCTCATGGGGAAAAAATTAATACAGTCTGTGTTTGTCACGTTAAGCATTTAATGCTTCAAGAGAAGAGATTTCCTTCTGTGGCTATTCAGTCCAGGAAACCTGTTTGGCATTATATTCATACTTCAAAAAAAAAAGCAGCAGGTGAGACTACCCAGTAACAGAAGTTCCCTCTGAAGAACAGACTCAAATGTATTGAAAAAATTTTTAACTATGGCTCTTTTTAAGGAATTTCCATGAGAACTTTAAAATGGGTGATACTGGACTAGGTGAAGTGAGTTGCCATAGTACTAAGGATGGGATTCATCTGATACGATCTCTTCTAGCTAACAGTGTAAGGGCTGCTGTGAGGGCCCTATGCTATACTCTGCCAATTCTGAAAGCAAGAGGCATTAGTTGGAATCTGATTTTTTTTAGAGGTGACAGACAGCCTTATCACAGAGAGTACAATTTTAAAAGAAGCTTAGGAAGGATTTCTTCTTATACATTAAGTTACCTTTAAGTTTATTATCTGTACGGAAACAGGAGCTGGATTCTAGAATGTAAATTGTCATTGAACTTGTAAACAAATTCTGATTCAGGCTGTTTTCTCAATCTCTCCTTAGAGGGGTACAAGGAGAAGCTATCTTCTATTATACACATAAAAGTTCAGATTACGACACTTCACATTTTGCACACAGTATTTAATGGCATTTACACTCTACCCAAACATTGTACAGAAGGGAAAATGTGTGCTGATGGATTTTGCCTTCCAGACATCAAGTACCTCGAGTATTAATGTTACTCAACTATGAAATTTAATTGGAAGGTAAGGAAAAAATGTAATACATAAAACAAGAGGTAGTAGGATATTAAGAGGCCACAGATTTCCTTCTTCACTGACTATGCAGAATCATCATTTAACTGTATGACAAGCTTGCTGTACACATCACGGTCCCACAGCCACATTACACAATCTATTTTAGTACTCTAGAATATCTAACCCTGATATCTAACCAAGCATTCTCTATTACAATGTAAGCCATTAAATTCTTCACACATTCTGACAAACTTCTCTTCTGCCCCATCTGAACAATATTCATAGCCTTCATAAGCAGGAACTTAGTTTTAAATAATAAGCACATTTTCATCATACAGCCCCTCCCAACAATATATTAATAACTGAAGCATAATAACACCATCCTTTCTTCTTATTTAAAGTCTAATTTATGAAGTTTTAAACTCTGGATGCATAGATTACCCATCTGGCTAGCACATAACCTCAATGACTGTTGGGAAATATAAGTATTTTACTTGCTGGGTTAGTCTGAATTAAGGTCTCCGTACCTGAGGATGTCACCGTACAAGTTTGGCATAACAAGCACATCAAATTGTGATGGATCTTGAACCATCTAGAAGGAAGTACATTTTCATTAAGGTTAAGAATTTAAACTAAAAAAATACCCACAATTAAAACATATAAATACTCACATTCAGACACACAGTATCCAGATACATTTCATTAAATTTAATATCTTTACAGCTTTCTGCTGCCTCCCTGCATTTTCTCAGGAAAAGCCCATCAGACATTCTCCTGCAATTAGACAACCAAGAGAATATCCCAGTTATTGTAAGGAAGCAGTACTGAAGATAAAGAAAACTTCATGCAACAGAGATTTAAATAGAAATATTAGAGTTCAGAAAATTTATTTGTGACTAACTTGAATATAAATAATATTTTATATATATTACAGAGAAGTTACGACTCTTAAATATCTACAATTTGTGTATTGGTAGTTTAACAGGAATATATTAATTCTACGAATGACTTCATTTAGTAAAGGCTTACTGAGTGTGTAAAGGTGCTGTCACATAATACCACGTGTTACAACTCAGTTCAGTACAAAGTGGCTTGGAAACCAGAAAAGACACTAACCACTTCCATCCTCGTTTTTAAAATTCATTTTCCTAGTTTAAAAGTTTTAAAATAAGAGCTTTACAAGGAAATCCACAGGACTACTACAAACTTACTAATAAGAACATCAGTACATCATGATTACAGCCCTATCGATACTGGGTCAGTATTGCCCATTTTATATAGGAGGCATTACTTTTTCCCACCATTTACATACTCCCAGTAGCATCGACAGAAGTTAGACATTTGAGGAAGACTGAAGAAGTTATGCATATTATTATTTTGTTCTTCTCAAAAAAGAAGGATTGACATACATAATATTTGCCTTGTGAACAGCAGTAACATGGCTTCTCTGGTTGTTCCTGGCATACTCAAAAGCAAATTCTGCAATACGCTTGCTGGCTTCCTCTGTGATCAGCTTGATGCTCTGCACAACCCCATCAACAATCTGAAAGACAGTAGTTGCACTGATAGAAAAAATGTAAGCTCATTCTTCAAGCCACTAGTCTTGAGTGTTTGGAACCAAGTAGTAGAATTCTGAGTGAGGCAGTCTCAACAATGCGTTTCATAATAGAGCCACTTTTTTATGGGTACCAAACGTAACGCCACTGAATCCCACTGAGACTGTTTCATGAAACGGAAACCACACCAGAAAGACACCACTTGGAGCCACATACCACGTGCTCAATGCCACTGTACTCGCCCTCCGTGTTCTCTCGGATGGTGACAATGTTCACGTCTGTGTATGGGGTTTTGTACCCCTCGATGGAGACACAGGGACGAACGTTTGCATAAAGGTCGAAGGTTTTACGCAGCAGCAGATTCATCGATGGGTGCCCTGCAGCAATTGGGGTCTTTAAAGGCCCTGAAGGAAAAAAATACATACAAGAATGAATGAGAAAATAAACCCCTCCATGGATTTTAGAGCTGAAACTCTAGGTCAAGTGGTACTCTTACAGAGGAGCTCCAAATTCCTCTTTAACCCTTAGGCTGAAATGCCACAGGAACTCTCTGGGCTATCAAGTACTGCAGAGGGATATTCATCACCTGTTTAAAGGCCAAATTGTGACCCTTACATGGAATAGTTTTTACAAAAGGTTTTCACCGAATACACATATAAAAATACTACTCATTAGGAATGCAGTTATTGCATACTATTACATATCAGCTGCATCAGAAATACCTTCTGTATACAGTCCAAAGGTTGGTATGTAACAGTACCCACCTCCAACTACAAGAACTATGAAAGTTATGGCTTGGAAATGAAGGACTGTTAAGATTACAGGTAACTACCTGACAGGCTGTCCTCTATAATTACCCGTTTTATTGTGCTACAGATTAAGAACTTTCGCTCTAAATCAGACTCATGATAGAATCAACGGTATTTAATATCTGTGTATTAACCCCTAAAATACCTTTTAATCCCATTTTGTTTTTATCCATGGATTCTTTGGCATCTGGAGGTATCATCCACTTCCCTCCTGGTCCTTGGATAGCTGTAACATTCCTCTCTTCCCACTGAATAGGAGTCTGAACATATACACGCTATGTTAACTTAAATGCCATGACATTTGCTTCAAGTTTTCACTCTCCTTTCACAAAAAAGTATGTAAGGAATTTTATCCAAGCCTTCCTAAACCATTGTTCCCTGGTGAGCAAGAGTAAGCATGAGATGTCTGAACTAAGGCAATTTTTAAAAAATGTAATTAACTAGGTGAAAATGAAATAGTACGAGCAGCACATCATCATGAACTTGAATACCATGATACCTCCCTATGTGTCATATACACAGAAATTGTTAGAATTGCAGTACACATGCCATTTCTTTCAAGTTTTTAGGGCGTGGAGTTCCTTGTATACAAAAGACATCATTTGAAACCTAATTAACTGGGAACTCATCATCCCTACTGCCTGAAAGACAGTACATGACATCAATATGTATCTGTATCTAACTGAAAATCTGCACATGTTCCACAATGCTTTCTGAATTTGCATTCACCATGGGAATCTTATACATGGAGACAGGCTGCCACCCATTCATTTCATCAGGAAGGACCGTAAGTGAAAAGCTGTAGGGCCTTCATAAGCAAACAGAACCAATCTAAGCATAACATACTAGAGAGTCCCCTGCAAAACAAACACATCTGATTAAGTATTGTAAACATGCACTCACACACAAAAGATTTTATTCCTCTACATCTCCTGCTTGATTCTTCAGAAACAACCAAAACTATTATAAGGTTTTCATACGTAATTAAAAAGAACTTCACTTTCTCCCAGTTGGATAGTTGTAAGAGAAAGGGAATATGCCTTGGTGCTGTTACTAATGTGGAACAATTTAACAGTCATCTTGCCTGAAGAGCTGTGTTTCCTTTCATGGAAAGCTGACAAATTCTGGTGAAGTTTCTCAGATAGGGAGCACAACATTTCTTGGACATAGTTAGTTTTCATATCACTTACATCAATGTGTTTGGCAGCACAGCAGTTTGATTCCTAAGAATAAGCCAGTCCTTTCACACACACTTTGCTCTGAACTGCAACTCTCAATGAATCAAAGAACATCCTCTATCAGTTGCTCAGGATTACTACATCAAGATGATTTCACATGATATACTGAGTTCATATTTCCAAAAATTAAACACATTTCCCATCCACTCTACTCTTATGCCAGCTAACAGTTTCAAGCCCTGCCTTGATATCACAATCCTGCCCTTTTATTAGCTGAAGCTTCAAACTCTATTGTCATGAAATTTTTAATCTCTTGCAAGCTAAAGAGAAAACATTTTTAATATGCCTAGTTAATATCTGTTGTTGTAGTTAAAGCTACATTGCTTATAGCAAGACAAATATGACTTACTTTGGCAGCATCAAAGATCTTCACAACAGCAGCAGAAATCTCAGGTCCTATGCCATCTCCTGGGATTAAAGTTACTGTTTGTACCTAGGTAAAGAAATACCCGTAGTATAACAAGTGAATATTTGTTTTCTACATAGAAAACATTTTCATGTATTGTAGGAACCAAGTAACTACCAGAAAACAAAAGAAACTGCCAGTTACCAAATATTCCCTGTGAAGAACAGCAGTCTTGGATAGGAGTGAGAAAGACCAGCTTGCTTTCAAACGGAGCATGTAAATGTTTTGAGAGAATTGTTTAAAAATTTGCCTAGTATTTCTTCCTATTTAAAAACACAGCAGTAGAACCTGAAAGGCAGGTTCCTGCTCAGGAAATTAAGGATATTGAAATTAATGATAGCAGCATGCTTCCTCTGGAAATCTGGAGAGGAGGTAATATTACCTAGTTATGGCTCCATTACACATATGCCTCCAATATTATCTACATGCTGTGTAACACTGACACATGCTAGAAAAGACTAAAAATATGAAAAGCTACATTCACCTTAAAAAAAAAAAAAAAGGCCATGCCAATCTAAACTTCTCAAATGACTTCCTAAGAATTTGAGAATCATTTTTAACAATACCAACTTATTTTCTTCCCATAATGTCCTCAGTCTTCTTTCCTTTCTCATCATCATATTTTAATAATTGTACAGCCCATGCTCAGTGGGTTACAGGAAAAGAAAGTACTGTTTTGATGCAAAAAGAATAAATTATGACCACTGTTCTGAGGGTATGTGCCTCAGCTCTATTTGTTTTATTTAAAGAGTTTAACAGTTTTGTATGGGCTCATTATTACCCACTAAAAAGGCAGCTCAGATATAGCCCTGTTTGCAAAACTCCAGACAGAATCAACTCACAAGATATGTTTCCATCCTTCACACAAAATATTCAGAATTTCAATATAAACTGACTGATCTTTTTAACTCATTTGGGCCAAAGAAATCCACTGTGCACAACAAAAGAGCTTCAGATAAAAGAACACTGCTGCTGAGCAAGCAGTCACTAATGGAATGTCTCAAGAGGAGTTTTGTGGTGTCTGGTGTTATTCCAGCACAGCAGGACTTAGCATCTGAGTTAGAGCTACGAGTTTCACCTGAAACAGGCATGTACTATCATCTTCTGATCCTCTGTATACTGTATACGGACCCTTTGGTATCTTTTCTACCTGTTGTACCAAACTTGTAATTAGAAGCCAAGCCGCAAGCTTGTAATTAGAAGCCACAGTTCCTCTTTAAAATTAAGTCCTGCTTAAAGGTACGTGCAGTGGTGCCGAGCCCTGCTGCTGCCTTCACTGAAAAAGAAGGCCTGTGGGCACTGAAAACACATACACATAAAGGAAGGTAAAGCATCTATGGGGAAATACAGAATCAGCATCTAAGAGACTTTAAGGAGGACCTTGAAAAGGCAGAAATTTAGGTGCAAGGTATTCTAAAAGCATCAGTAAAGTAAATCTAGTGCTTGGAGGGAAGACTGCGAAAGAAAAGAAAATGAGAAGCTTCTCAACAATCTTTCTACTTTGCCCATTATTTGCCCATTTCCAGGTGAATTTCAGAGGACTGGCTTATGTACATATTTTCCGAAAACTTTTCATGCCATGTCTATCTTTTGTTAGAGCCTTTTATATTATCACTTACGTGTTATTATGCAATTGCCAATGACAGTAGTTAAATAAATAAATCCAGGATGGCATTAAAAGCATGTATGTTCACTTGTATAGCCCTTATTTTTTGGGAATGTAAAAATAACAGCAGCAATCTTATAGAAAGGAATCTCCAAGCCTCTTTATTGAGAAACTTCTTAAAAGAAAAAAAAAGGGACTATTATACTCACAGCATTACCAAAACTTCTGGTCACCTGTTTTTGGTTTTTGAAAGCACCTAGCAATCGAGAAACCTGCAAAAATATAAATCAAAAAGATGCTATTTTACTGCACAAACGGGATTCAAAAAAGCTAACAATATTGCAACAAATCTGCATTTTTAAATCAGATTGCTTAAATTTCCTACCTCAAACTAGTATAAAAATCCAAATGAAACAAGAGTAACTTAAGCTCTGCCAAGCTGCTGTCTAACACGCTGTGCACCAAGGCCTCGTGGGTATTCTTAGCACAAGGTGAGCCCAGGACAGCCACACTTGCACTGCGCTGTGCTCTCCTGTCCTGCCTTGGGGCAAGGGGAAGTCTGCACCAAACCCGGAGCTTACTTGCACTGCGCTGTGCTCTCCTGTCGTGCCTTGGGGCGAGGGGAAGTCTGCACCAAACCCGGAGCTGGAAGCAAGGCTGCAGTAACTCTAACTGAAATGCTAGGGATTAAGATTTGGGGAGAGCACAGTGATAAACAAAACACTTCATTGGTAGCAGTTGGATGGACAATGTCTTTACACATTTTAGGTAACCTTTCCAAAACTACTTGGCATTAGTTGACACTTCTTCCGTTCAAACTAGGGGCAATTTTGTTCTTCTGCTTTTCATATCTGTAGGTTTTGTACTAATGCCTTCTGCATGCCTAATGATTTTTAAACAACATAACTGAAATGCACATTAAAGACAAAATTCACCATAGCAACGAGTCCACACAGGACGGTCAAAGAACTACACTTTCTAACATCTGAATATTCTGAACCAGCATTAAGCCTTAAAATTGGGATGGTATCTTAGCTTAAGCTCTTGCCTAGCTGAGCACCATGGACAAAATCCCCAATCTGCAGGAAAAAACCCAGCCATACTCAGATCTGCAGTGTGTTTGCAGCTATCAGGCCAGAATGAATTTGACAATTCGTATTCCTCTCCTGTCCCATTTGTATTTGTTATTTCTTATTTATTTTTTCTGAGATTTACAGTGTATGGCAAAAGGTACAAACTATGTCGGCACCAACAGAACCAATGAGGAACAATATGTATATTGTAACGAATGCTGAGGGAGAAGTAATTTAAGCTAGATCTATTTTTACTCGTAGCCCCACATGAGATATACAAGGTCACTGCAACAGGCAAAGTGATGTTTGCCGTAGCTAGCCATACGGCTGAGGAAGCAGCTGGAGCAATTAAATGAACATGTGAAGTTGACTACGCTAAGCGTTCTCATGCCACAGTTCCTGCATATAGTCAGGAAACACATTCCAGAGCAGCCCTGGAAAGGGAACAGCCTGTCCCATCAGAAATAATGGGCCCGGTACATTATACTGAAGTTCAACATCTGTAACACCAGCAAAGAATCAGACTAAAGAAAACCGATCCATTCTGATCTTAAAGTCACATGTCACGATTAGCTCTTGACAGCTCTTTCTAATTGAAACAAGGCAGCAGACAGGCAAAGTGGGGCAGCCTTGCTGACTCAGCCTCTTAACAGGCCGTTATTTAAAGGTGCAAAACACATTTAATTCGCTGAAGGCAAAAAGCAGCTTCTCCGCGACCACCCCGGGACAAGAGCTGCGTCTCAG